TAAACATCATTTTTCTAGTCTTCGATGCTTCAGTTTTTAAGTCTCAGTATCATGCACCTAACTTCTATTATCTACAACTGATTACAGCGACTTAGTATTGATTTAACTATACATCACTACATGCTTTACACTTATAGAATTCTTTTTAATAATAATAAACTTATGACAGATTTATAATTGCATAACCCATAAAAAGAAAAGATCTTTGAAACAAAAAATCATACTACTTGGTTAGAGATACCATAAAAATACCTTTGAAGACATTTTGCTCAAGAATAGGTCGTAGGACACCAGCAATACCTACCAAACAGGCAGCGCTACTTTGAAAATGTAGTGTCAGCACAAGATGAAGGACTTAGGATGATGGAGCAAGAAGCGAGTGCATCAGTACCACACAAGACATCGTTGCCAAAGTGTGAATCTACAATACATAGATTTCAATTAGCTTCATTTACAAGCACATATAAAAAAATACACAATAAAGATCAATTTGTATAAAATAAAAACCTCCTTTTGCTTCCAAGGACACACAATTTAGAAATAATAATGTTCAATCTAAAAGGTAAAAATGAGATAAATAACTGGACGTAACATTCTTATGAGACATGCCTTTATTTTATTTTATTTTTAGAAAGTATCAAATTGTTAAAAAAGAAATTATTCATTTTCACAAATTTTTTAGTGACATCCATAAAAATGAAAACTTAAAATTGACATAACACAATTTTTATGAAAATATCTAATACTTCATGGTATATAGTGTAAAAGGAAAATCAACATTTAATTTAAATAACATCTACAATAACTACAACTCTATAAAGTAATAAAAAATAACTTAGATATGTGAGTTTTTTGTTTTCCAACATAGAACAAATGTTGGAAAACAAAGAATTTGAATACAATGTACAATACTCTAACTTCATAACAATAATGAAAACAACTTAGACATGTGAGATTTTGTTTTTTTTAAAAAGAGTTTTTTTTTGGGGGAACCTAAGAAATGTTACATAATCAAAATTGTTGACAATGAAGATATTCGAAAGCATGAACGATTTTTATGTGTGAAAAATAAAAAGTAATTCACCTTGTAATTGTGATGCACGTGAAGGACGGCCAATACGTCTTTCCTTGCTTGCTTTGAATTCCTTTCGCTTTGCATATAATTCTCTTCGTCTCTTATTTTGCATTTCTTTTTTGTTTGTTAGAAAAACTTTCTCAGGTTCACCATCATCGCAGTCATGGGAAACACATACCCGACGAGAATTAGACATTATCTACAAACATAAAAAAAAAAAAGGAAAAATGCTTTCAAACATCAAAAGTAAAAACTAATTATTTCGATGCAACAGAACATAAATAAAAAGCATCAAAGCTCTCCTACATTGACAAATGTAAAATGAGATAATTAGAAGTAATAGCTAAAATTTGCCCACACTGATACGCACCAGTACACACTCCAAAGAATATCTCATTAATCATTATCTTGATGCAAAATTATTAATACTTTAAAAGAAGGCAAATTCAATTCTTCCATCAAGAGTTTCTCAAAGCAAATTTTAATTTGCTAACATCTTTGGATAACTTTAAGGGAAAAAATCATAGTGTATTTTTTATACTGCTTTATTGAATAATTGAATATTCACCAAAGAAATAACATGCAGAAAGAACCCTACGATTCTTTACTTGCACTCACGAAGTGGCATGCGAAGAAATAATATCTAAAACAATTAGGTGAATTTCCTATAGAATCATCTCAAAACTACTGAATGTATTTTCTACATAATCATTGAATTATAGAAATGTATTTCAAACATACACACAACAATACAAAAAAATAAAACTAAAAACAAAAAAAAAGAACCTTACAATCATGAGATGCCAAGTTCTAGCTTCAAGATATCCACATAAAATTTTCAATCATAAAAGACAGTACTCAAAATTGAAAAATGAGTAATACAGTAACAAATGTAAATTAACAGGTGACATAGAGGAAATATTAATATACTCTCTTCAAATATGCTGATTCGAATATTATAGTATGTATGATGCTCACATCCACTGGCTTAGAAAAAAACCTCACAAAATCATTCACCACTCTATTACTGACCAAATGGTAGCAGCCGTAAGTCCGGCCTTTTTATTATCACAGGCAACTAAAAGGAAAATTATGTATTAATAAATCGATGTATCCAAACTAAAATGGCAACTGGTTCAACCCATACATTAAGCATTCCACCCAAATTTAAAAATACCGTAGCATGAAAGCTAAAGACAGGTCCTAATAAGCCTCAAACATGCCCCCAATTCCAAAATTTTCTGTTTCACTAATTTAACTATTCTTTCTATGTCTTAAACCCAAATTCTAGATTACAGCTCGGCCACTCTTCTTCAACCTCTATCGTGCAAAATCTTAAAACCTTTAAAGAAACAATTTCTGTTTCTTCAAGTTTTCATTTTCTTTGCCAATTTTATTGTTTATTACTCAACAACCTAACCTCCTTGCAAACTAAGGCAATAGACACAAAGAAAAGAAGAAGTTACATTCCTGGTATTTTCAATAACAACGTTGAAACGATATGGACTTTAATCAATGTCAAACAATTATCGCAAAAAAAAAAAAATCTGTAAGAAATTCACACAGCATAAACCCAAAATATTGCGATATTCTCAAG